ACGGATAGTGATTTTGGAGACATGAAACACGTGTCTACAAAAGGGGATAGATCACCCATTATTGTCACGGTACTTGTGGAAGGCCAAGAGTTATCAATGGAGCTTGATACTGGGTCAGCCGTGTCGGTGATAAGTAAAGAAACCTTCCACAGGTACCTAAAGGGCGTGTCCATCAAGAGTACCACCCTCCAGTTACGCACTTATACAAGGGAAATAGTAAATCCCGTTGGGGTCTCCCAAGTAAAAGTACAGTATCAGGAACAGATACATGTTCTCCCTTTGTATGTTGTCGAAAAGGGAGGACCCACCTTGTTTGGCCGGGATTGGCTAAGGTGCATTCGCTTGAATTGGCCTCTGTTAAAACTGGGAAAGGTAGACAGCCTAGACGACGTGCTCGATAAGCACAAAGTTGTTTTCTCAGAGGGTCTTGGGAAGTTGAAGAATTTCAAAGCGCACATCGAGCTAAAAGAAAATGCACGGCCCAAGTTTTGGAAACCTCGACCCGTAGCGCTAGCACGCAAGCCGGCGGTGGAACAAGCCCTGGATGAGCTAGAGGCTGAGGGAGTGATAGTGGGGGTGAATTATAGCGAATGGGCGGCGCCCATCGTGACTCCAGTAAAGAAAGACGGCAGTGTCAGGATATGCGGGGATTTTAAAGTAACAATTAACCCGCAACTAGAAATCGACGAATACCCCCTTCCACGCATAGAAGACATCTACGCCAGTCTTAGTGGTAAACAGTTCAGCACTCTTGATTTGCGCCAGGCCTACCTACAAATGGAGGTTGATGAACGGTCCAAGCATTACCTTACCGTCAATACTCACCGAGGGCTGTTCCAATACCAACGCTTACCGTACGGTGTGGCCTCGGCACCTGCCATCTGGCAGAGAGCGATGGATCAGGTATTACAGTGCCTCCCAGGAGTACAGTGTTACCTAGATGATATCGTAGTGACCGGTAAGTCTGAAAGAGAACACCTGGATGTGCTGAACAAGGTGTTGCAGAGGCTGGAGGAGTATGGACTAAAGGCCAACAAAAGGAAATGCAAGTTCCTCCAAGACTCCGTGGAGTATCTGGGTCACGTGATTTCTGCGGAGGGTCTACGCCAATCGCCCAAAAAGACTAAAGCCATCGTAGAGATGCCAGCACCCCAGGACGTAGCACAGCTGCGCCCGTTCCTAGGCATGGTCCAGTACTATGCAAAGTTCATGCCAGATCTCGCTACGGTCCTAGCGCCACTTCATCGTTTGCTTAAGAAGAATGTTAAGTGGACCTGGTCGAAGAAGGAGGCGGATTGCTTTGAGTCTGTTAAAAAGATGCTGCTGGAGGACAAAGTACTAACCCACTACGATCCCGACCTCCCGCTAGTTATGGCCAGCGACAGCTCATCGCATGGTCTCGGAGCTGTCCTATCTCATCGTATGCCGAATGGAAACGAGAGGCCGATCGCGTTCGCTTCTCGTTCATTGTCAAACACTGAAAAAAAGTATTCGCAGATCGAGAAAGAGGCGTTGTCCATCTTGTGGGGAGTGAAAAGGTTCCAGACATACCTCGAAGGGAGGAGCTTCGAGCTAATAACAGACCACAAGCCGCTGAAATATATTATGGACCCTGGGAAGGCAGTTCCAGTTACCGCTGCCGCAAGGCTGCAACGCTGGTGCCTTTTCCTGGGAGCCTTCACGTACACCATCCAACACCGAAACACCAAACAGCACGCGAACTGTGATGAACTTTCTCGCCTACCACTGGCGGAAAGCCCTAAGGACAAACATGATGAAACCGAAGTTTATTTCATGACTGTGGTGGAAGATCTCCCAGTGAAAGAGAAGGAGCTCAAGAGACACACTCGCAGAGATGCAGTTCTTGCCCGTGTCCTCGAATCAGTGCAGAAAGGATGGGAGGACGATACGATTACTCCGGAAATCGCCCCTTATGATCACTGCAAGGATGAAATAACCTTACTGCACGGAGAGATCCTGATGTGGGTAACCAGAGTTATTGTTCCGAAGAAGTTGCAAGACAGGGTTCTGCAAACCCTTCACGAGGGACATATCGGGGTGGTTAAAATGAAGGGCCTCGCGCGCGGTCACGTGTGGTGGCCAAACATCGATAAAGACATCGAGCGTGTTGGGAGACAGTGCGAGGGCTGCCAAGAAATGGCAAGAAACCCATCATCTGCACCCCTACATCGTTGGAAGTTCCCCGTGCAACCTTGGCAGCGAGTCGACATAGACTTCGCGGGACCTTTCCAGGGGAGAATGCTCCTAGTCTGCGTGGATGYCCATACGAAATAGCCGGAAATAGTGGTCATGAARAACACTRCTGCTGAARGRACTGTGGAGGCTCYGCGCTCAAWTTTTGCTAGACTGGGTCTCCCAGAACAAATAGTGTCCGACAACGGGCCGCAGTTCACTTCTGCAGAGTTTAGGAAGTTCACAGAAGGGAACGGAATCCGTCACGTTACAGRAGCGCCCTACCACCMAGCAACCARCGGTCTGGCTGAGAGACTAGTCCAGAGTTTTAAGCATGCAGTGAAAGCAGATAAGTCGAATAGAACGCTCCAACATAAGATCGATCGGTTCTTGCTGGCGTATCGCACTGCGCCGCATGCTACTACCGGTATAAGTCCAGCGCAGTTGTTGTTCCAGAGGAATCCAAGGACCAGGTTAGATCTCCTTAAACCGAGTGTCAAGAGCACTGTAGACAGAAAGAACCTACAAGATGAAACTAGGCCTTTCTCGGTTTTCCGCGAGGGTGGGTTCATGGTACTGTTCTGGAGCAGGTGGGGCCGGTGTTATACAAAGTCCAGACACAGGAGAAAGTGTGGAGGAGACATTTTGAACAGCTGCGTCGTGATCAGTCTCAGTTGTCACCTAGGCAAGAGCCCCCGGCTAGTACAGACGCCGTGAACTTGAGTGGTCATGATGTCAAGGTCAGCACTGACTGCCCAGCTGAGGGTGAAAGATCAACCGCTGATCCTACCATGGTGTCAGTCAACCCGTTGATGCTCCAAGGCCGCAGCAGAGTCAAGCAGCTGAAGGTTAAAAGACTACTCGCTGTGGTCGGGTTATTAGGACCCCAGCTAGGTTCAAGGACTTTGACTCTTCTAGACGATGAGCATAAGAACGCTTAATACCGAACATTGTTGAGTTTTTCATGTATTGTTTTCACTAGGAAAACCATTGTTATGTAGCTAAGGGGGGAGGAGTTGTAGAGTATTGGGATACCTGTGTTATCACGTGTCAAGAGTAATAAGAATAAACGTGGTTCCGCCATCTTGTCTAAAAAGTCCTCGTGAAAACTCAACAAGTTTCTACGACATGGATTTTCTCTCTAGAAGAGACTTCAGGGCTATTCCTATATGTAAAATTAAAAATACGTACGTGTTAGTAACATGTGCACATCATTAAAGCTGGAAAATTGGCAGAGTTATAAGTTATCAATCAACAAACTGTAATACACCTGTAGGGTTTTACTCTATCACTTGTAAATGTATTTTGTTTTACCTCAAAAAGGTATTGACATTATTTGCCCTTAATTCAAACATAAAAAATATACATACATATCACTTACTTCGTTTTTCTTCTTAAATTTCCTATTCTACTCTTAATGCTTTTCATCTTTCCTTCATTGCTATTAGCTTCTTGATACTTTTGATACACCGCCTTTGGAAGCGACTTGCCATTTTTCAAAATGAACCTGGAAATTTCACGCCAATTATTACCATGTATCTTTGTGGCCTCCAGATACAACAGTTTTTCCTCTTCGGTAATGCCGTCTTTTCTTAGTAATTTCGTTTCCGATTCTTAAAAGTAGAAATAAAAACTAAACATTTATTTCTCCCCTTTACTTCATAAATTATACTTATACACATTTGGTGTGCAAACACGAGAAAGAGACGCTTGAGTTATCCTATCAAAGCATGTCTTAAACATGCTGTCTTGTAAAATTTCTTTCTGTAAAATTACTTACGTTTGTAGCTATTCTCCTCTTCCTGTAACAGTTGGTTTTTATCCATTTTCTTTCTCGGCATTGACATACAACAAGCTGTCGAACTACACAACATGAAAGACACTTCAAAATGAAACTAAAAGTATTCTCCACTTGCAAATAAGATCTGAATGCAAATGCAAATACAGCAGTGGATGTTGACTGTTCGTGCACAAAAACAAAAGATGACAATGACGTTTATGCGGAATGTGAAATTCGTTTGTTAAAGCAGCAAACTTCAAAAGGAAAAAAATAATACGATACACGCGTAGTGTGATATACAAAACAAAGGAAGTCACATTCCACGCTCAAAGTTTGAAAAAAGGCGTTGTGGCAAAACCGTCTACTTTAATTTTGAGTTACAGGGATCAGAAGTGTTGAATGAAAAAGCTGTATAGCTCATACCATAAAACTCAAAACATCTTTGTTAGAAATATTATATTGCAAAAATGAGCCGTTTATGTCCTTTCCCGGCATTTATTGGTACAGTTAGCATGGCTACTTTAAATCTCCTTTTAGTAATTATAGAATTACTCGAAGATGAAGAGGATGTCTGCCCTTTATTTACAGCACACTACCTTTACATTTCTATAGTCATGTTACTGCAAGTTTTCTCAGCTGTTCAGGGTGTTCTCTTCGAGCTGCCATTAGACTACTGTTTCCAACCTTACCTGGACAAAGAGATGAATTATGGCCTCGTTTGACCCGAAACCCAGTTCAGATGTGAGAGTTGACAGGCGAAACACCATCAAGCCTTACAAGAGTTGTTCAGAGAATCTCAGTCGATACTGAAAGATTTATCCGCAATTCCGGAAACCCAGGATACAGAGAGATTCAAACAAGGCCGAATGCTTTGACAACTCGTGACCGGATATTCATGCTTTTTGTTTGGTTACGCACGTATCCGACCTTTTCGGAACTTAGAATTATGTTTGGAGTGGGTGCTACGACAGCAGCAGAAAATATCCATATCCTTCTTTTAATAACACTTTTTCATTATGAGCCCCTCTACATTAGACGGCCTAGTTTAGGGGTTTGGAACAGTTTACGAGGAAGTATTGCGGATTTCCCTGATGTAGTTGGTATTATTGACGCCATGCCAATCCGCATCAACAGACCCCAAGGCAACGTACAAAGGCTGTATTATCGCGGCGATAGGGGCTATCATTTCCTAAACAGGCAAGTAATAGTTGACTGTGATGGCTTCTTTGTCTATAGCCAGGCAGGATATCTAGGTCACCTACCTGACGCAGCAAGCTATGCCATGATTCCAAGAATTGGTCATAACTGTGCTCTTCCACTTCCGTTAGGCAGCTATGTATTGGCAGACAGCGGATATCTAGCTGGATATCCGCTATTTGTACCATACTCACGTCGTGGCGGGAGGCGTCTAACAGCCAACATGCAATTGTTTGATAGCTTGTTGTCTGTTCACAGAGTGAGAATCGAACATCGAATAGGCGACTTAAAGATATATAGGTGTGTCTCTAGCCGTTTTAGACACAGGCGCTGGAGGATCAGTGGAGTGGCCAACTTGGTTACAGCTCTTGCTAATAGAAGGAGACGACTTTTCCAAAGCATTAGAAGACAAGCAGCACTTCGCCTGTAGCAAAGTTGTATTTTTGAAATGTGTTTTGATGAGCTTATTAGTTTAAATCTATAATTCAATAATAATAAAAATAATTAAAAAAATTAATTTAAAATTAGTTTGAACGTATTTTGAAGATAAGATGTTGAAGATATTTCATACTTTGAAATTCACACATAAAAATTCATTCAAAAATAGATGGCTAATTCGGCTAATTTGCACG